GATTATAATTTGTGTTTGTGGACTCACCTGAAGAAGGACCAGTAATCATCGAAGAAACCCTAGAGCAAACTCTTTCCAGAGCAGCTGATGCAAAGGATGAAGCCCTTACCAACCTCCAACTCGAGAAGGTCAACCTCATTGGATTCTGCCCAAAATCTCTGTAAGAGAACTAGTAGAAGGTCTAGGAGTAGATGAAGGTAACACAATCCATCAGCTCACACCTCGAACAATACCTGACACTACTTGTTATTTTTTCTACGGGGGAAGACAAACATAGTGGAGGAGGAGGCGTAAAGGAGGCATGGAGGGCATGATGGGAGGCATGATGATATGGGCATCGCGGCCAAGATAGTCGCTCTGATCCCTATCGCCATCGAAGGGCTGTTCCTGCTGGCCGAGAGAAACAGAAACCCTTCAATTCATTCCTGGTGTTCCGCTGCTGGATTACAGGAAGATGAAGTCTTTACAAATTCATGTAAAAAAAAGGAATACATTGGCACGGCCTTGTCAATAACGCACATGCGAGATGTTTTTCGTCCCTGTTTCTGGGAAATGAAAGAAGTGAGGAAGAGATGAAGGAAGAAATGGTAGAGAACGAAAGAAGAAGAAGAATACACGCATGCACTCATGTATAAGAACACTACCATTGGCGTTACTAGGAGGGGACAGGAAATCTTTAAAATTGACAAAAACTTATGTGGTACCCTAACAGTTGAGAAATGAGAAATCGAATTTTTTGCCCAACTTAATCATGTTTTTCGTTGGAGTGAAAATAATTTTTGACGTATATAATATACTTCTGTATATCACAGCGATGCAAAACTCGTTATATCGCAGTGTTGCCTCATCATGACATCTTAGAGATGTCATGTCGCAGATATGTTTGCTTCTGAACATCGCAGCGATGAAACGTTTGTGATATCGCACCTGTTACCAAAACGTCACATCTCAGAGATGTCAACCAAATATCTCATTGATTCAACTAATTATTTGATTGAATCAATATCTTGTTATTTTGAATCAAGAAAAATGATTGTTTGAGGCAATTCAATATCTCTGCATAATCTCTGCTCTGCATAAACAATGCATGGATGTGCTTGATTGAATGAGATCCAGAGTTCATGCAAGACATATTTACTTAATTCAAACATCAAATTCGCTCTGAAACAAGATATAGATTTACTCAATTCAAGATTATATTTCGTCGTGCATATATGACACTTTTATTTCCTTCATTCAATTAAATTTTGCTTGATTCAACAATTCCTTTTTCTTCGTGTACCCTTGTTGGTCTTGGTCTGAGTTTCGTGTACTGGATGTTTCCCGTTTGTGACAAAAAAGTGTTAACACGTTACTGGGTTTAGAGGCCATCAGGACCCCCTTAGAAAAAACTACTAGTTACGCCAATGAAGTTTCCACCTTAATGTAGAGTTCGCCGGTTCGTTTTTTGCCGTCGACATCGGCTCGCGGATCGATATGCAACTGGAGCGTTTTTTTTTTGTTCGGCCGTCTTCGGCTTTGAAGTGCCGCGTTAAAAATTGCGCGAAATTCCAAATATTATTCGCTTGTTAGTTGTCGCCGCCGACTCGGATGGGACGAGCAGCGAACAACAAACAACAACAACAAAGTTCAACGCCGTCCGTTTGTTCTACAACTGTCCGGCACAGCGATATATTCAGCGAATGTCATCTTTATTTGTGTTTACCGCGTCTAATTGGGGCTGGCATGTGGATTCTGATGCAAACTTTTGCTGCTATTATACTGGCATCTACTGGTGGGAAATGTTTTCGCTAGTTAGAGTTGAAATGAAACACTTTTGGCCAGTTCACCCTTCTTCAGAACACGAAAAACATGTACAAGGTGTTAATGATTCGAATGCTCAAACGATACCTTTTTTATCTCGTGTATACTCAGATCTATGCCTATACAGTGCTTTTCTTCAATGTACCCCCCCTTTTATTTTTTGAACGGGTCATCGAAAAAAATTGAAACTTGATGCATGAATACTATATTATGGAGTGACATTGACAGATGAAAATTTCAAGACTGGGCGTCATCTGGGGAAAAAATTAAATGAGAAAGGGGGGTCTTGTGATATATTTTCTTGAAGCCCTTGACGAAAACTTCACAACTCACTGCACCTAGTACAAAATGGCAGAACATTTAATAGTTGCGCCTGATTACTCCAGAAAAGTTGGAAACATTTGGATAATACTTTTCTTGTTCGTTCGATTGGTCGTCGTGGTCCAACGAACTGGCCAGCCCGCTCACCAGAATTGACACCTTTAGACGTTTTTTTTATCGGGCTATTTGAAGCAAAATGTGTACGAAACTGCAACTGCTTCAATATCAGATATACCACAGAGAATGATGTATATTTGTAGCAATATCTCACTGTGTTTCGCGCATTCTCTGAACTATGAACTCAGTTTATTTCCCCAAATTATGAAGTAAACGTCAATGTATTCAGGCAATTATTAAATGTTCCACCATTTTGTAGTAGGTGCAGATATTGACTTTATATTCTAGGGTTTTGAAGAATTCGTCAGGAGCTTCAAGAAGATGTATCACAAGACCCCCTTTCCATTTAACATTTTCCCCAGATGGCGCCCAGTCGCCATCTTGAAATTTTCATATGTCAATTTTAAGATATAGCCTCAACTCGACAGGTTAATCTCGCGGGGACTGCCAAGGGAATGTGGCACCCTGTATTTTTGTATTTTGATAGTGAGTTATGTTATGTCAATTGGTTGTCAATTATTAAAAAAGTAGAATTGAAACTTGAATTAGTCCAACATCTGGTGACCCCGAAAGAACATGGTTCTACTTATACAAAATATCAAGAAAGAGCAACTGCTCAATGTACTGCAACATTTCAAGTTACCTTCTGGTGGAACGGTATCCGATATGAAACTAACTCTGGAAGGTTTCATAAGAGAAAAGTATCCAGATTTGAAGAATCCAAATGATTTCGATTATTCCGACATACTCGAAGAAATAGAGCAGAATACAAACCATGATAAGGATAATATAGATCGTGAAATGTCGCTCTTGTCAACGAAAGTCAACAATTTGGAATATTTGTGTGTACGTTTTTCAGAGAAATTTGAACATTTGGAAAATTTGATAAAAACATTCATAGAAAATTCTGTGCCAAGAATTGACAATATTGATCAACCATCTACCTCTTCCTCAAACATTTCAAATCAGAATGAAAACCTCGAAATTCAATACAATCGCATGAAATCAGTTACCCTACCTGTGTTTTGGAAACATGAACCTGAACTATGGTTCAATGCGGTGGAAACAGTTTTTGACATTAATGGAGTTCATTCGGAGAAGGTAAAGTTTGGTAAAGTTATTTCAATGTTGGACTGTACATTAGCCAAGGAAAATTCTAATTTATTCAAACTTCAGAATGATCCCAATGCATATCAAATGTTAAAACAACAGCTCATTAAAATGTATCAGATTTCTGCAGAAGAAAAGATGATCAAACTCTTTGCTGAGTGTGAACTAGGTGATAAAAAACCAAGCCAACTCTACAGAGAGATGACTGATCTAGCCTCAGGTCAAATGACCAAACATTTTATTGTATTGGCATGGCTCAAAAAACTTCCACAAACTGTCGAACAACTGATTCGCGCTTTTCAAGAGAAATTATCCGACGATGAACTGATCAGCATGGCAGATGGTATGATGAAAGGCACGCATTTCGCAGATCAGGTTAATTCTATTAGAAACTCTCCTCCATCCCAATCCATCGAGAATAAAATCGATCTTCTCATCGAAAAATTGAACGGAACACTTGATAAAAAAAAATTCCAACGTCGCGATTGGTCAAGATCACGAAGCAGTTCAGAATCAAGATATGGAAAACGAACAAATATTTGCTACTACCATCGCCGATACAAGGAGAATGCTACAAAATGTCTAGAACCTTGTGAATATTCAATGTTGCATCAAAAGGAAAACTCTCAGGCCAGTCATTAATGGTGACGAATGATATTGGCCACAGAAATTGTCGCCTATTCATCAAAGACCCAGCTACCAAAATTATATTTCTTATTGAATTAGTCCAACAGGAGGAACAATTGTTGATATTTCAGAAGAGCATCGTCCATGAAAATATCTATAAAATGGAACCACAGATCGCCAACTTTTCTACGGTGTTCCAGAGAAGTGAGTGCTGAGTTTGTGAGCGAGGCATCATTCACCCCTGATGAGACGAATGGGCGTGCGTACACCTTAGTAGAACTTTTAACTCAAACCATGTTTATATAATGATCCTTTTATACATAAATAATGATTGACGCCATAATTCGATCGAATAATTAACTGGAAATATTTTATTTATGGGCATAAATAATAGTACCTTCTGAAAACGGACCCTCTTATGACGTAGAAACCTCATCTCGCCATAGTTACTTATATGGGCAACACGAAATCACCATACATTTGAACTTTACACTGAATGAAATATGAGAGCACTATAAGAGATCAGCAAGAGAACCATATTATCCATCTATTTTATTAGTCCAAGTTCCAATTTTTCTCGTTGATCTGTTCAAAAATGAAGGAAGGGGGAAAATTAAAGAAAAGCACTGGTTAAGGATAGCATGAAGTAACCTACTTTTATTGAACTCGTAATTGAGAATCCAATTTAAATACAAAAAAATACCTATCCCCAGATTTCAACTTTACATTAATGTCTAATGAGGGTGAACCATCAATGGATTTTTACTCTTGATGTAATAATTTGTCAATTATTCTGAATAATTTTCGGGCACCGGGCACCAATTACATTCTTCAATATTCATTCATTAGCTGCTGAAAAGAGAGTAGGCTTTGCAAAAAAATCAAAAATTCTGACAATAATTCATAATCATACGAAAATTTTCAAGTTTTCATATATTGTATAGCAGATAAGGACTAAAGCCCCAACGGTCAGTCTAATTGTTGCAGAGGTCATATCATTTGTAATGTTTAATGTGCCGTGTTTAAATTACTTCGTCGAGGAGATTGATCATTGTTGATGGTCCAGCTACTTGAGGAATGAGGATGCTGATGGAATTTCCGTTTCTGGTTTGCGAAATGAGCCTATACACAAAAGATGGCGCCATATATTATTATATCTATAGGAACAACGGGCATGTGTAATTTTGAAGTTTGCTGACCGGACATCCAATTCGACTTTTCGATTTTCATTTGATAATTAGATTATTTGAATGAATAGGTACATAGATCAGTGAAATAATTTCAATTCACCCCTTCAGAAGGGTATAGTTTACTCTATAGCTGTATTTCGAAAAAAATCATTGACCGACTATTACTTTTACTGTTTTCAATGTTTGCTTCAGATTGCATATAGGAACATTTCTTGAAGGTGTAGATAGAATAGTATTACAATGATTATTTTCTTCGTATGGTTTCGAACCAATCAGAACGTTCAATTGATCTAAGCTACCTTGTATAATTTCAAATATGCGTGGATATACATAGAGTAGTTCCACTAGTCAGAAGTTCAATATTATTTCCATTTCCATATTTCATATTATTACATACAAAGTACTCAAAAAATAATCGCATCGAATGCAATTCGAACTCCAAAATCTTCAAGGTTATACATCTCAAACTTCCTGCACAATTACGAATCGTGTCAACAGAATTATCCTCTTGCTACGTTTTTTGTAAGTAATTAACTTACAACCCGAATAATTTGAAGTACTTATAGTATTACTACTGAAAATAAAGTTCAGTTCTGAAAGATGTTATTATTAATTATCTGACAATGATAATCTAATGCTTCGAACATAAAAACATTCTATATTCAAGGTGTAAGATGCCACCAAATGATCTGAATCCACCCTCTCAGATATAGATGGTTCATTCTTTTTGTTTTTCAAAAATTCTTGCTGACAAAGCATTTTTGATTTGTTTTTTGCATCAATTTGCATATTTTATCCACTTCATCAGAGGGATAGATTATTCTTACTGTTTCTCAAGAATCCTTACTGACCGAGCATTTTTTAAACGAATTTTTGCTTAAAATTGCATAAATTGAACATCTCAGAATAAACAATCTCTATTGATGGAGTGGATGAGATCATTCTAATTTCTAGGTGACCGAATGTCTCAACGAGATGTTGAAATATGCGATTTGAAGCAAATATTTGAACTAGAAATGCTGGGTCCCCAAAGATTTTTGAAAATCAGCAAGAATAAACTACCCTTCTGAGAGGATGACTTGAAATTATTTTATCGGTGGCAACTGTTCATTCACCCAAATTATTTTATTATCGAATATGAATCGAAAATTAGAATCGAAAATGTAGGGTCAGCAAATTTTGATCTTGGTCAGCAAATTATATTTTCCCGCAACAACTGCGATCGTGATCATTCGCGTCTCTGATGGAGATTCTCCAAAACATGGTTATTCATGTTGATTTCTCTACCAACAACAATGAATTTCATAAAAAAACGATCCCTTTCCATTTTGATGAAAATGTTCGGCACTGTCCAAAGAGATGTTTGTCTCTGAAAAAATAATCATATTGATGGTTATCCATATCGCTCTAAATTTGGCAAGAAACGCACAAGATGCTATATGATCTTATTTTTTCGATTGTTTCATCTCGCACAAACATATTCTAGAGTACCCAAACAACTTATTCGTGACAACTCCAACTTCATTCTGATGTTCAAACAGGATAACATGAATCTGCACCACATTTTTTCCGATCACGTATATCCCCATCATCAGACATATTCAAACAATTTCAAGATACCATATGTGCGCGCAAATTTGGACAAATAAATATGAATTTCTTGTTATCGAGGAGTTAAAAGGACCAGCGAAATCCATGAGAGGCACAATAGGAAAGGGTTTTCGATATATTTAAATATTTTATTCATTCGATCTTGAGAAGCAGCAATGAGCACATCTTATAATGAAAAGTTTGACGTGAGACACGCTGTACGTAATATTCCTACGAATAATAATTACAATGTTTTTTTCTCGAATGACATCGAAAAATCTCGTACAAAGCAACCTACTTGCAGATGAAACAACATTGAAGCAGGCCTTGAGCAGAAATGATATAAGCGCTTCTCCGTTATTTTGATGAGTTTTCTAAGCCGTTTCCTGTCTCACGTCGTATCCTACACACATCACTTACAACATGCAGTAATTTAAGCGATATTTACGCTACCGTGCACTTGAAGGATACGAGCTGTGTTCGTATAGTATAAAAAAAATGATATAAGACACGAAACGTAATCGTCTCAAAATTCTATGAAGGCAACAACAAATTGTTCTGTAGGTACTAATAATATGAGATCAGTATTCAAACACTTTCTATTCTTGTAAATTTTTTGTTAAATACTGTCTGTAGGTCGATCACCTCCTCGATCATTCATTCATTATTCCAGATTTTTTGGGATTTTCTCTCCTCGTTTCCATAAAATAAAAATATGAATATTATTTCAATATATGTGTAGTGAGGACAAATCATATGATTTGCCCCAAGATGTCACTGCGTTTAAGGAATTTTCCTATCCTATCCTAAAAGAAAAATTCACTAGCTTGTCAGTGACAATTTGTATGGAAAAAAGTTTGGAGAAGAGAAATAAAGGTACCTATATATAGAAAAAATATAAAAAATTTACAATTTGCGATACAAAAAAAACAACATTTTTTATGTTGACAACGGGAGCAGATTCGTTCCCAAAACGTCTAAAGCTGAGTGAAAATTTGATATTTTTTCTATATTCCTTTATTTCTCTTCTAAAAACTTTTTTCAATACAAATTGTCACTGACAAGCTAGTGAATTTTTCTTTCAGACTCTATGATCGGAGAATTCTTTGAACGCAGTGACATTTCGGGGCAAATCTTCTGATTTGTCCTTACTATACACGTATAATAATATTCATGATTCCATTTTTCAGAAACGAGGCGAGAAAGTACCAAAAAATCTGGTATAAAATTAAATGTTTGTAAATTTTTCTTTAAAGTAGCTAAATATATGTGACTCATTGAAACAAATTTTGATAACTACCCTAGACATCGCATACCTTCGTCGTCAATTTTGACAAATGTCGAACAACACTTCACCAAAACTCGCTCGTCTATATATAGAAGGGCGAAGCTTATTTGTAAATCTTTGTCAATGGAAATATTTCCAAGAACTTATAACCTCCAAAAGTTCAAGAATAATTCCAACACCTACCTCCTCTCATTATCCTCCCTAGGTACGCACGATGTTCCACGAACATTATAGGAATTTCCTATCGTGCTCCCCAAGAGATTGAAAAAGGCAAATTCTAATAAATTTTCACTGAAGGAGTATTACATTGATTAGCTTATACATATATTAGCTGTCGCGAAATTAGTATTTCTTTTTATAGTTCGTAGGGCAAAAGTTCAACTACTCAGCTTAGACTGAAATGTAGATGAATGATCCAGCCAGTTGAGCTTGTTGTCTATGTTTATTCCCAAAAATACAGTAGAGCTCACGGAAACAATAGAGTTTTGATACACCGAGGTGTATAGTGATGTCATCGACATCTCTATACATTTTGAATACAATGTTATTCGATTTGGAATGGTTAAGAGATAGTTTGTTAGCTAGGAACCAGTCTGATACTCCTTCCGTTATTTCTTCTGACAGTAGAGTGAGTTGGGCAGTAGGTATTCATATCAGTAACTAGTATGCTTTATCATCAGCAAAGAGTGTAAAACTAACCGTAGGAAAGGTGCACACAATGTCATTCACATAGAACAAATAAGAATGTTTTCAAAATTTATTGAAACACTTGGAACACGATTCGTGATCAGTATATTATACCGTTCAGAAACCAACGATTTTATGTCGCTTTTTATAGATAGAGAGATGCAGGATAGGTATAACAAATAGTAAATAGTTGATATTATGAACGTCCTTTTAATGATCTTCCTATCATATACGTTAGGTTTGAAATAGCGGTGTCTTTATGGGCCAAGATGCCTTTTGAAACGGCCAATGCACTGAGCCTTGATTTATGGGCCCTATAAAAATAAGGATGCTTGGTATAACTCGAATTTTTTATCATTTTGTGTGTGAAATGTTCAGCGGTCGGATTTGAAAAAAAATCATTCCCAATTTTTAACATTAATTAATTAATCAATTAAGACATTTTATCCGTATAGGATTGCGAAACAGCAGTGGGTTGTCGTAACTTTTCCTCCTTATTTACTACACCACTGATCCCTATAATGACATTTTTTAATCTCTCTGATTTTCGGTTGAATTCTGTTGAAAATTTTATATCAGTCATTTTCAATCTGATGCTTTATTTCCACATTGTTACTATAGTAACTAGCAAATTTTTTGGAAATTTCTCATCCACATGAGCATGTAAAAGTAAAATTAATAAATAGGAATTTTCTGGCACATGATAGCTATCATATGATTAGACAATTTTGGAATAATATTGACAGTATTTCTTATTTTCCGTATCCCAAGTAAGAAAATTGTATGAAATCAAAATTAATAGTTGAGCTGATACTATAAATTGTGTTTTACTATAGGACACATAAGGGAAAGTAAATATTTACTTGATGTTTTCTTTTTGAAAATGATTTCGTTTTTAAATTTATTTACCAAATCCCCCACGTGCATGAATTGATTGCGGGAAATCTGTCTCGAACATGAATTTTTAAAGAAAATTTATGTACTCGAAAAATTCACAGCAATAATTCAATCCCTAGGGAAATTTTTTGTGAAAATTCCACACCAGTAATATGTTTACCTAACCCAAATTGGGTTTTTTGATATAATCTCCAAATGAGCTCAAATATACATTCAACTCAAAATAGAAATAAAAATTGTCTCCTGATGTTCATACCTTGGTATACCTATATAATTACTATAGGTTACTATTTCCGTTTAATAATTCGAAATGAAGTTTTGAATATTTATTTTGCATTTTGTTACGTCAGGTATTTCACCGATACGTTTTTTTTTTGAGGTTTGGCTATTTTATTATTTTCATCAATCTTTTATGACGTTATTCAATATATGCTCAATACTATATGGGATGATGAAACTCGTTATCATAA